CACTGACAAAACCTCGTGCCAGAAATACTGAATCCCATTGCTTCAGTTCTTGAAGAAGCTGTTAGTAACTCCTCTTCAGATTTCAGTGTGTTCTTTACTGTAATTTTTTCCAAGTGCTTTTACTTATGTTGAATCACATATTTATATATTTCTGTGGTTATAAAACATATAGCATTGAATATGACCTTAACTTTTGCATTTTTTGCTTTCCCAGTCCAATGCTGTAAATGTCTATGTTAGTGGGCAGAACACGGGAGAATTAGACCAGTATATAACGGTGTATCAAATCTGACAGCTGCTTCCAGCTGCATAATTTCAGAGGAAATGTTATAACTAGAGGGATTTTGAAAGAAAAAAGAATATATTTCAAGCATGACTCATTTTTAATTACAAAAGAGAATGCAAAGTACTTGCTTTTAGTAAAATCAAAAGTGGAGAGAAACAAAAGGTATTTATAAAATGTCTTAGTGTCATAAGATTAGTAGCATGACACTGAAAGCTAAGAGAAAAATCTAAGTAGGCAAGACAAAATCTTTTTTTTTCCTAGAATGCTTGTCTTTTAAAAAAAGCCTACAAGGTTTTTTTGTGGGTTTTTTTTTTCCTATAAACATTTGCTTCATTGTGCTGATTCTCAGAATAGTGGGAATTGTTGGTTGAATGAATAAAATGATCATGAAAGAAATGAGTACAAGCATACAAACACTAATTGTTGCACTAGAATGTATCTGTTGTCAACCTTTGCAGGTTGTCTTGCAGTCGTACAGTTCCATTGGCCCCACATGGTACTTACTGAACATTTATTTTTTATTTGTTTGGACCACGCCAGTATTACACAGGCAGCATGAGGGAATAATGAGCTGCATTCTTTGGGTTACTGAAAAGTCAGCACAAATTGTGGGAACAAATAACAATCAGACAAGGCAGTGTTTTATAACATCAGGACTGCAATCCATCTTTGGGATCTTTCAAAGCCAGGCTAATAAAGGCCCACTTACAATCCCCAGCAGAGTACAGTTTAATTAAATTTGTCCATTAGAGGACTCCTCCCCCTCTCTCTACATTTTAGAAATTAATTCTGCTTTCTGCCTGTCATTCTTTCTACATCACAGATGCACTGAGCCTTCGTAACCGACAGGTCATCTGCGTCACGCTGAAAGTCCTCCAGCACCTGGTGGTGTCAGCTGACATGGTGGGGCAGGCTTTGGTGCCCTATTATCGGCAAATCCTCCCAGTCCTAAACATCTTTAAGAATATGAATGGTGAGTTATCCTAACAGACACTGTGCCTTTGAACCCCTAAGGTAAAAAGGGGCTTGAGGCAGGGTTAATTAACAATGTAGTTAAGATTTATTACTGTATATAAACTCAAATCCATTTGGAGCTCTAAATACTGTAAACCCCCCCTCCTACTATTCCCTAAGGATGCACTGAAATTAACAATTTCATTTATTACTCCTTGCACGTACAGTTTATTTAACACAGTGCAGAAGCACTGAAGCAGTTCTATAATCTTCCAATAATTAAATTGTAAAGTTTTGTAACAGTCTTGTGAATACATTAATAAATTGCAAAGGTTTTTTTTTCCCTCCAGCACATTAGTTCGGGCCAGCCTTTTTGTTCCATTCTGTGCTTTTCACAAGCAATTCACTGCTACCAGCAGGCTTAGGAAAGAATACAAATAAAAGTAGCAATCAAACTAATTAATTTGAGGGTCATTAGAACTCCTTGTTTTAGAAAAAATTCAAGATACATAATGTCTAGCAAAACAGTGAAGTTTGAAGTTATTGCTGCTTCAATAGCAGGTTTTATTACAGAGACATTTCAAACTAATTGTTATCTACAGATGAATATGTTGTTTTCTTTGTAGTGCAAACCTCTGTTGCCAGTTTCAGTCTTTAATAACTCTGGGACTTTGAGTACTGTGAGCACCATATACTGTGAATGCATTTTCACCATAGTCACCAACTAAAATCAACATGATGTATCTTGCTTTTGCCAAACTAATCTTTACAATATTTTTCTGTAGTAAATCTGTCTGTACTTATCTTTCAATTATCTACCAAGTTACTGACTTTAAAGTTTCTGTTATTGACATGCAGTCATAAAGATCAAAAGAAGCTAATTCCTCACAGTCTTGCAAAAGAAGTACTGACAGGTTTTTCATGAAATTCACGGCATTTTAATAGTTGTCTACAGGACTGCTTCCTATTATACTTTCTGTTTGCATTACTACAGACTGCATTATCTTATACTCGCTCTTTAAGACCTCAGATTGAAAAATGCCTGTGCAAACACTGACTTGGATACTCAAATGAGATTCAGATTTGACATCCCTATAAATACATGTATGTCTGTGACTCTGTTTGACTTAGTGAGAAACTTGCAGTAACATGGAATTCCACAAATGCAGCGTGGTTCAGATGACAGCTGTGGCTTTCTAGAAGCTGTGGGATGAAAGGTTATGAATAAAATCTGTAGGTTGAACTTAAGTGACTTCAGTAAGGCTCTTTGTGAATTAGAAGATTCGCCTTTAACAGATCCAATTTCAGTAGCTGGCACAGAACAAGACTGTAAAAAGAAGGACTTTCATTGATTAATGAATGTACAATACATTCTTTTTTCCAAATTTCAGCCTGAAGTACCCCATAAATTCTCTTGACTAGGCTTTTCTGCAGTGATTTCAGATGAATAATAGGGAAAGCTCAAGTGTAACCAGGTACATAGATTAACAAGTCATTAAACATGTTCTAAATATATCCCAAGTTTTGGTTGTATTGTGAGCCAAATAAAACATATTCTCAACATATTTGCATGACATCTGTGCGATGTGAATTTGTGCCTATATCAAACTACACTGAATCTTGATATTTGGCATTTTGAGAACTAAAAAACAAAAAGAAATTATATATAATAGTTCTAAATTAATACGTAACTTTTTTAGGAATTAATGTTTTGAACATTCAGTATTACCATCAATGAAGTGGATACTATTTGCAAGGTCTGCCATATGAAACTTCAGTTTATTCAGTATTTGCATGCTCGTGATAGGGA